TAGTAATATACATCCAGGTATATTTCTCTTTCAAGAATATTTTGGCTCTTCTGTATACTTTGTCTTTCTGTCTTTCTGTATACTTTGTCTTTCTTCAGTTCTGAAGAACTGAAGAAGAGGTGAAAGATTACTTTAATCATGAAGGGTGGTTAGTAATTTCACACCCATTCAAAGAAATGAGAAAGTATAGATCAGAGGAAATAGAAATAGAGGTTAAACCAAAAACTTTAAAAGATAGGGGTAAGGGAAGAAATAGTCCTGGAAAAATGGATGTTGAATATTTTAATCTAGTCTAATTATCTCCTATTTAAGTAAGATAATTAGATTGTATTCAATATCTTTACATAAGTGGAGGCACTAAATGCAAGAGGCCTTAAAGACTTGTGATTGTTAGGTTGAGTAAGACCTATTATGTAATGATAAGACAAGAATCATAAACTTTGGTTGTCCAAATTAGTTACCAATGAATAAAATAAAGCTTGTCTAATAGTAGCACTATTTTGGAATTTTGAAGTGATTGGAAGACTTAAAATTCTAGGTCTCCTATTGTAGCTGCTGTTGTTTTCTGATATCTTAAAATATAGGAGAAAGTTTCTGAATATGAAGAAAAAGTTGTATTTTAATTCTTTCTGACTTTGTTTTCTCCTGATAGTACTATGACAAGTAGATTATGACCTCCCCCCTTTACAGAATCAGAAGTTTCCTTTACTTGTCTTTGTGGATTACCATGAAAGTATCTTTGAATTACTTTCAGAAAGAAGTATGACAATTCTGTTCATCTCATTCTCATCGTGAGGATTTACAAGTCTGTATATTTTGTTTGGCTAAATAACTAGTTTTACTTGGGATATGAAGTAGATCCCCAAGAATAAACTGACTACAACAAGTAAGACATACTGAGACCATGTATTTCTATAGACCAAAAGAATCCTGTTACCACTGTTATCTGATTATTTGATTTCCCAGTAAGAATCATAGAGAAATATGATCTATGTTAGTAAACCACTTGTTATTACCTTAAGTTAAATATACTGGTTATGTTTAGTCGTCTTCTCCAATAGTAGACCATTTAAAACATGCCATTGTTGTCCTGGAAACTCTACTTATTCCTGACTATTCTACATGTTAACTATTATATATTATCCTCATCCTTTATGATGAGGATTTTTTTTTCCCTTTGTACTTATTTCAAAATAGTGATGATGGAAGCAGTGCAGGTTATCCAATGATGGGGAAAAAGTACTAACAAAAAAAGGTAAAGAAAATATAGTTACAGGAAGAAATACCAAATTCTTTATAGAATTATTGATATTTGAAAGGAAAATATTCTCTAACTTTCTTTTTCATGTAATATAAGGTGTAAGCAACATGGGGGCAAGGATGATCATCTTGTTCACTGTTGAAGACCTTGTGCTTGATATAATACATGATGATAGTAGGTCTCAAGTATGTATTTGTTGGGTAATATTAAACTGATCAGAAACAAGAGAGTACAAATGTTTGAAGGTTATTTTTCTCATAATGATTTGTCACTTTACCATTATGAAATACAGGTTTTGGTTTAGAGTAGTGACACAACAGGAGCTCTCATGAAAACTTTGGGTTGTTTTCAAATGTTTGCGTTATTGTCATCTGTGAATATGCCTCACATTGAAATTTCACATGTGTCATTGAAGACATCGGGGAGCTTATGTGGAGTACTTTTTATTTTTTTTTTTTTTTTTTTTTTTAAAAACTCATCTACTTTATTTATTTATTTATTTTTTTTTTTATAGAGGCATGTTTTTACTTATTTATTTATTTATTTGTTTGTTTGTTTTGTTTATACATGCACTGGGTACAGTCAGAAGCGCGGGAGGGTGAGAGAATTCACCAGAGTCAGAGCGGGGAGCAGAGCAGGCAGAAGGACCGAAGTACACTGCTGAGGGGAGCAGTGGGCGGCAGGAGAGGTCTGCGCGCCATGTGGGACCCACCTCCGGTGGCCGGGGAGCAGCCGGGGATCGAACCGGCGTCGCAGAGGCCGCGGGCAGCTTCGCAACCCAGTGCTCAACTGCTGCGCCACGGGGGAGGCCCTGGAGTACTTTTTAGTGTTAAAATGAGATTGAAGGCTTGGAATTTAAAAAGGTTGAGTTTGAGAAGGGGCATATAGTTTCCTTGTTATGTGACCAGAATCCCCAGAATAAATTAGGTTCCTATAATAGGATGATCCACTGGGAACTGATGTAACTCTTAGGAAAACCAATTCAAAACCTGCCTCTTTGTCAGTTTGAAAAAGAAGATAGGGACTCCTAGGCTTTCCAAAATAAAACATTTCTATTTCTTTGATGAAAAGTGCCCATCACTCAGTATTTAAGAGTGGACTGACCAGTTAGAAACCACAATACCACATCTAGAGATTTAAATTATGTTTGTTATTATCTTGTATTTTAATTTATTTTGAAATAAGTGCTTGTGGTATGTCTCCAAGGTGGAAAGTTGATGCTGAGGACCTGAGAGAGAATGTAAAGCTGAACAGGAGAATTCAGTGATACCAAGTTCCTAAACATTTGGAACAGTAGCGATCACCAAAACAAAAATGTTTTAGCTTTAATCAGATTACCCAAATCTAGATTCATCTTGAAGAATTAAATGCTTATATTTTTATTGGCTTACTTACCAAATCCAAGGGATCCTGACCCCTAATATGACAGTATTAATATAATTGATGTTTTTTTACATAATATAGGCACTGGTAAACATTATACTGATCAGTTCTGCCAAAACAGATTTTGTAAATTTTAACGGACTTAGACAGATGCAAACATGAAAAATTAAAGAAAAAAAGATAAAAGTAATTCTATGTAATCCTATAATCAGAGGTTAGAGTTAGGGGATTACAAGAGATGGCAATTATTAATTTCCTATCTAGATTTTAAAATTATGTGGGGAAATCGAGCAAATGGCTTTATTACCATTTTTTGATATTACTGTTTTTAGAAAAGCATTGACTTAGTTGACTGTAAGAGGAGGAAAATTGGGAGGAAAGTGGTAGATTTTAGGTTTATAAAGCATAGAATCATTCCACATAGTAAGTGCTAGTATGTAGAATATAAAAGGTCAATGCCTCTCCACAGAAATAAATCATAGTCCCCTTAGACACTGGCAGTAATGATTTAAGTCGACCTCTAATCTTATGCTGTATGTTTTATAAAAATTATGTAAGTTAATGACGCATATACTATTGCGTATTTAGTAGTTTTTGTTTTCACCCATTCTTATCATAGTTAATGGATCTGTAATATGTCTTTTTCGAGCTTTTTCATTTGGTCCTGTTTAATCTTGTGTTTTTGAAAGTCTTATATTTATGTACAGAAGTATCCATGAGGCACATACGCTTTATGGTGCACAGTAGACAATCTGAAAATCTTGTTTTCTAAAAATACTATTTTCAGAAGTATTTTATGTAGGCTGAATGTGTTATAAATCAAGTTTTTCTCCTGTGGAAAATATTGTTTGTGCTATTGTGAAGATATGGGACATTTATGGAAAATAAAATATGGTTCGGTATCACCCAAATCGTATGGCAAGATCAGAGCAGGAAATTGGAAGCAAATGACCATTGACAGATGAGCAAACTGAAAAATTTTCTCTTTGCCTCATATAGTAAGGGGAAGGAATGACTTTTTATTTGCCCCTCACAAATATGAGGGCAAATTATGGTTGGGAAATTTTGATTGTACTCTTTAAAACAGCAGCTTTGATTTCTTGATACATTATAGAATACCTCTAAATTTTTCTTAACTTCATGTATGTAACAGAATGGAGGAGATGTAAATTCTGAACTCTACTTAGAAACACTCCCAGATTTATGCAATAGTTCTTTTTGTGGGGTTGGGGGGGTGTCTCTGTGTATTTTAGAAAACCAAATAACCAAAGACTGTTATTTGCTGTTTTTGATAGATCGAATTAAATTTGATTTTCTACCTAGGGTAACCAGTAATTCTTGTACTGGTCACCCTTTTTGAGTGGCTACTCTTTAGGACCATTTGTCATTTGCTCTCTATATTATACACTTGAGGTATAATTCCTTTTTAAATTCACTGATAGTGAATTCGGGATTATTTTCGTAGTTGCATGAGGACTTACAAGTTTCAATTAGTGTGGCCATGTAACTCATCATCCAAATTCAACACTTTAGAGAGTGAGCACATATGCTATTAATGATTACCTAAGAACAATAGATACAAACCAAGACTGGTCCATGTAAATCAAGGTATATGATCATCCTAATCCTAATGCTTTTGATTGCAAGTAACAGAAAACACACATGAAATTGGCTTAAACAAAATGAAATTTACTAGTTTCCTAAAAGTCCAGTGTTTTGGAGTACTGTAGATATGGTTTGGTGAGGACTCTAGCTTTGTTTCTATATTTTCTAGGCTACCGACTTCTGTGGCTGGCTTCCCTTATAGTTTTTGGATATCATGCTAACAATAGTCTGGGGTATAGACTTCATTTATGACCAGTAATAGAAAGAAACTTGTTCCTCTCATGAATATAGAATGATTCTGAAGCTTCCTTATTATTACTTCTGAACTAATCTCTGTGACAAGGGAAATGTCTTGTGCGGATTGTCTTAGATATGGGATATCTAAATAGGATTACCCTGATTCTCTTAGACTAATCAGAGTCCATTCAAGAAACTGATGCAGGGTCAATCTTTCTTGGAAAACAGGCAGTTAAATGAAGGAGAAAGGGGGTGGGACAGATGTTCTACAAGTAACTACAGTGTTTACAGTGAAGTCCAGTGCCATTGTTTGTTTGCATTTCCTTTAGGCATCTATTACTGAGTTCCTGCAAGAACCTAGCATACTGAGGGTGCATTTTCCTTCTAGTGCGAATTGATAGTATAAGATAATTTCTTTGCAAGGAGAGAGGAAAAAACAAAATAAAACTACCATCCCATTTTTCTTTTGTTTTGCTGTATGGTTGTAATAATATTGATTTTTTTTTTTTAACAGACTAATAGGGATGCCAAAGGAAAAATATGATCCTCCAGATCCTCGCAGAATTTATACCATCATGTCAGCAGAGGAGGTAGCCAATGGGAAAAAATCTCACTGGGCAGAATTAGAAATCTCGGGTGAGTAGAATCTGAAGCATTTAATCCAGGATAATATAGCAAAATGAACAAGACTTAACTTTTGCTATTTTATTTGTTGTGCATTTTTTATTATTAAGAAAATATAAGATGGTATGGTACTAGGGTTTATTTGTTTTATCTGTGATTCAAGATCTGTTTTCATCCTTTTTTTTTTTTTTTTTGAGATTAATACCTTGAACCAGAGTTGGCATCTGGAGTTGAAAACATTGGGAGTTCAATATCTAAGTAAAGCCTCAGTCTTTGTTATGGTAGATTTTGTTTTGGCTATTGTGGAATAATGCTTTTTGCAAATTGAAATTTTGCCATCCTCCTGTCATCCCAGTGTTGACAGAGTGGGAAACCTAGGAGCTCTTTATTCTAACAAATATTGTCATGTGATTTCACATGTTTATGATTTCTTAGAATATGATTTCTAGAAACTCATAACCCCAATCTAATAGTGAGAAAGCATCAGACAAACTCAGATTGAAGGATATCCTACAAAATATCTAACTAGTGATACTCAGAATTGCCAAGGCCATAAAAAGCAAGGAAAGACTAAGTAAGAAACTGAGGAGATGTGATGACTAAAATGCACAATGGTATCCTAAATTGAATCTTGGAACAAAAAGGTATAAACACGGATGAAATCCAAATAAAGACTGTAAATTAGTTAGAAGCAAGGAACCCATATTGGGTTCCTAGTTGTGACAAATTACCATGGTAATATAAGATGATATTAAGGGAAACTACATGGGTATATAGGAACTCTGTGTTATCTTGGTAACTTTTCTGTAAGTCTAAAATTAGTACAAAGTTAAAAGTTTGTAAGTTCTGTTTTTCTTTCATGAATTGAAACAGTACAGATTATATATGTAGGATTAAATTTTTTTCTCAGTAGACTTTCATTTGGAAGCATTAACCCCATAGTATGAGTGCAAAAATTATCTCCACATTTAGCAAAAAGGTAAGTGGGTGGGTAAGTGGTAATCAAAAGGATGAATATGAAAAACTCTCAGTTTCACAACCTGATGCTATTGACATTTAAAACTGCATAATTCTTTGTGGTTGGGACTGTGATGTGCACTATAGGATGTTAAGAAGCATTCCGAGCCTCTACCCTCTATCAGATGCCAGTAGCATCCCTCTAGTTTTCACAGCCTAAAATATCTTAAGATTGCCAGCGTCCCTTGGAGAGCAAACTCACCCTTGATTGAGGATCACTCAGTTAAACCCTGAGTAAAACGGAAATAAGTTTCTCTTTTATTGGAACCTCTTTTCATTTGCATGCTTTGTTTCCTATGGAAATGCAAAACCCTTTTTGACACTTTGCCTGAAGGAACCTGTGGTAGAATCCTGGACAGAAGATGTGAATTTGAGTTTACTCCTTAATAACTACATGAAAAGTAACATTTGAGATTTTGTGCCCTTTCTACCTTGCACTGTTCTTTTAATCAAAATCTATCATTTGTAAAGTAATAATACAGTTAAAATACCATTTTATAGAATATATTTTGTATACATTAATTAAGGTAATACATCATTTTATAGAATCTGAGACTAGGTGATTTACCCACACTTACATAGTTATTAAATGTTAAAACTCAGTATCTTGAACCAGAGCTTCTAACGTTTTCTAGTGCACATACTCCACTATATCCTCTGATACTGACTGACTGATTCAGTTTAATGTGTGACAGTTTCCTTGAGTATATTGTACTTAATGCAAAATCTAAACCAGAGTGATTATAATTGTAATATCAGAAAAATGGATTTCTCTCTTCCAGGAGTGAAACAATTTTCCTGGTGGATTATCAATTTTTTTTCTAATTCATAGTAATACTTTTGTCTATTTAAAGTTTGTAGACTTATTCAGGCCCCTAGATATAGATTAATTTTAAACTGGTAATTTTCTTTATTTATATATATATATATGTATATATATATGCATATAAAACTTTGAACTTTATTTTTTTCTTAACAGCCTTGTCCATTTTTAAATAATATTTGCTTTTCCACACCCCCTCAGGTGTAGTCCCCATAGAGTTTCCTTCACCAATGCACCCTTGCACCATCACCTCAGTCCCCTGTGCTCCTCCCTCCCTCCCTCTGATCCCTCTCCCTCCCCTGCAGGATGTCTCTGATTTATAATTGTCTGTTTTTGCTTTGTTGTGTTTTGTACTGTTGTTATTTTTTTTTTACACTGATGTCTTATTTGGTTCCCCTATATTCCTGCTATAAATGAAGCCATGCGATATTTTTCTTTTTCCTTCTGGCTTATTTCCCTGAGCATAATTCCTTCTAGCTCCATCCACATTGCTGCGAATGGCATGAGTTTATCTCTTTTGATTGCTGAAGAATATTCCATTGTGTCTATATGCCACATCTTCCTGATCCAGTCATCTATTTTTGGGCATTTGGGTTGTTTCCAGGTTTTGTCTATTGTAAATAGTGCTGCAATAAACATAGGGTTACAGGTGTTCTTTTGAATCACTGTTTCTGTGTTCTTTGGGTAGATCCCTAGGAGTGGAATTGCCGGGTCGTATGGTAGCTCCATTTTTAGTAGATTGAGGAACCTCCAGACAGCTCTCCACAGTGGTTGGACCAGTCTGCATTCCCACCAGCAATGTAGGAGCGTTCCTTTTTCACCACATCCTCGTCAACATTTGATGTTGCTTTTTTTTTTTTTTTTTTTTGATATGTGCCATTCTTACTGGTGTAAGGTGGTATCTCAATGTGGTTTTAATTTGCATTTCCCTGATTATAAGGGATGTTGAACATTTTTTCCATATGCCTGTTGGCCATTTGCATTTCCTCTTTGGAGAAATGTCTTTTAAGTTCTTTTACCCATTTCTTGACTGGATTGTTTATTTTGTTTTTGTTGAGTTATGTGAGTTGTTTGTATATCTTTGTGGTCAGTCCCTTATCAGTTGACTGCAGTGCAGAGATTTTTTCTCAGTGTGGGGTGTCTCTCTCTTTTGGTTCATGTCTGTTTTGCTGTGCAGAAGCTTTTCAGTTTGATATAATCCCAGATGCTTATCTTTTTCTTGACTTTCTTTGTTTTGGGTGATGAGTCTTTAAAGATGTTATTGTGATGTATGTCTTGTAGTGTTTTACCTATACTTTTTTCTATACATTTTATGGTTTCAGGTCTTATGTCCAGTTCTTTCATCCATTTTGAGTTGATTTCTGTGCACGGTGAAAGTTAGTAGACTACTAACCACTGGACCAGTTTCATTTTTTTTTGCATGTGGTGGTCCAGTTAAACTGGTAGTTTTTGTGGAGTATGTAAAAAATACTTTTGTTAGGACTATAACTTAAAAATCATTCAGGACTTTTCTAGCATAGACGCTCATTTCAATCCCATTTTCTCTTGAGGCAACATGATCACTCTGATTCCAAGGATTTCTTCATTATGCCACATCTCATTTAATACATGGGAGGTCCAGGAGAGGAAATGGTTGTGAAACAAAAGTGGCAAGAAATTTAAGAAGGGCCAGGTGTGTTGGGATGCAATCACATGGCATGAAAAACAAAATTAAAATATCAAAGACAATGTCTTTTATATAGAAATGTCTGTGTATATTTGAAGGCTCTTCTACCACTTTTTAGTCCTTTTATAAATACAATAGTTTGTTCTTCAGCTTGGGCCTAAAGTTTAATACTTCAATATTTTGCCTTTTAGGTAGAGTGCGGAGCTTAAGTACATCACTTTGGTCATTGACACACTTGACAGCACTGCACCTAAATGACAATTACCTTAGTCGCATTCCACCTGATATTGCCAAGCTTCATAATCTGGTTTACCTGGATCTGTCATCCAATAAACTCAGAAGTTTACCAGCAGAACTAGGAAACATGGTGTCTCTCAGGTGAGGAAATATGGTAAATATGACTCCTATATACATTCTAAATTTGCCAAATAAGAAAATTTGTTACCCATCTTACGGTAGGGTTTCCTTAAGTGTGTGAAGATCAGATGATACAAACTGTGTAAGCATAGTGTTGGCATCTATTGAGCAATTTTCCCCTTTCTTTGATTTTGGAAATTTTGGCTAAAGTATGCTTATATCACTAATTTCTTTGGATAGACTTGAGGAATAAGAATAGGGCTAAGTACTAAATCTCATTTCAGGCATATGTGTATGATGAGACTAGTCAGAAATAATTGGGAAAATATGATTTACTTACAAGTAAAACTTCTACAAGCATATCTCTGAGGCAAGGTATTCTTACATACAACTCCTTCAGAAGACCTTTAAACCTAGTAATAAATGGATTCCTTTGTAGTTTTTCAGTGGTCTAAGAACTTTTCATAGAGAAAAATTTAAAAAAAAGTTTAAAAAATCTTTTATAAATGTTTTTATAATAAACAAGGGTTATTTTCTACCTTACTTGCTGAGTAGTAATTTTAAAAATTGATTGTCATATGTTTGAAGATTTGTGTTGTTTTTAGAATCTTGTTTCTCACCATCCCCTTACTGTTTGTTTTTTAAAGATAATTTTTAGTCATTTAATGAGAACTGTTAATTTTTTTCTGTAGTCTGCCCCAAATTTTACAATCATAAACTCAAATCTTAACTATGCTATCCTACCTATGTTATCCTGTGCTTTATTTTTGAGTTTGCTCTGTGATAGCTGTGATTTTATATAATATCTGATGTAATTATAAAAATTGATACAGGTGATTGGCTATTAATTATCATTAAATCCTGAAATTTGTAAAAAAAAAAATTACTTTTTTTCTATGAATTAAGATATGTTCAAGGATACCTGTTGTCTTTGCTACTCTGATTTACATCTGATAGATGATAATATGTAAGTCCTACACCTTTAATAATCTGTGCTAGAGAATGAGTTAATCTTAGAAACAGTGTTAATTTTAGAAATTATATGTTTTATAGTACTTTAATAACTGCTCAAAATTTTTGGATGAGAGTGTAGAAATGTTCCTTGAATGTAATAAAATGCTTCTAGGGAAAATAAAGTTTGAAATATTAAACTAAAAAAAAATTTTTTTTAACAGGGAATTGCTTTTAAATAACAATCTGTTACGGGTTTTGCCTTATGAACTTGGTCGGCTCTTCCAGCTACAAACTCTAGGTTTGAAAGGTGAGTGATTTTTAAAAAATAAAAAAAAAAATGATAGTATTAGCACTCAATATTAAGGTTTTCTGAGTCTTTTAAAGACCATTTTGGTTACAATATAGCAGATTTTAGTATAATTTTGAGAATATGACTGTACTTGCTCTTGAAAGAAAAGTGGTTCTTTGGTGTCTTATTTGAGCTGTAGGATTTCAGCATGCTGTTACCATATTAACAATTTTGTATGATGAAAGATTTTTGTTCGGTTTTTATATTTTACCATTAGTATTTTATAACACTCAGATAGTTCTTTTTAAATTAACACTGTAATTTTTTCCCATTTGCCTGCCCCACTTTTTTTTAAAAAAAAAACCAATGACTTAATAGAGTAAAACTTAACCTTAGTCAGAAAGTCACTTGTCAAATTTTGATAGAGTAGATAAAAGAGTATTCATATGATTATAAAGAGAGGAAAACATTGCAGTAAAAGTGAGCTTTACCTATTAACTGTAATTACTCTAAATAAAATATGTCAATCCAAAAGTCCATGCTCCTTTGATAATCTTATCTCAATTTGGGATGCAAGTAATACTGATATAGAAAGTGAAATTTGTGTAATTTTCTCTTAAGGCATAACATGGACGAACAGTTTATTTTAAATCAGAAGACTTAATACAGTTACGCTTTATTGGTTAAAGATTTTATTCTATGAACATAAGAATTGAGCATTAATCAAAGTTTTATACAGTGTATACTCTGATATATTTTATTTTCCTTTTTTCAATGATTATCTCCATGAACATGTTGTGTTTGCATTTATTTTTCTCATATAATGGAGTTTTAAGAATAAAGCTTGAATAAGAATAGGAAGAGTGCTCATATTACTGTTTGAAGTGACTGAAATGTTATTTAACTTCTTTGTGCAATAAATACTTGTTAAATTTGATAATTATATAAATGATCTGGTTCTTGTGTTTTTAATTTCTGTGATATTTTATTGATAATTTTTTTAGCCATTTATACAATGGACAGGGGTATGCTTATATCCAAAATATTTTCTTGAGGATGAACCTAGGGCATTTGAAATTTAGCTGTTGGAATATTGTACCTTGTTATTTTTTTTTTTAATTTATTTTTTCTAGATTTAAGGAAAAAAATCAGAAAAATTTTTTTTCTTACATCATCGTAGTCCCCATAGTTCTCTCTCTCTCTCTTTTTTAAAGGATTTATTTATTTATGCACACAAGAGCTGGTGTACAGGCCAGAGATGCAGGGGCGTTGAGAGGATTCACCAGAGACAGAGCGGGGAACAGAACAGGCATACTGACCGAAATGCACTGCTGAGGGGAGCAGCGTGTGAGACAGATGTCTGCTTGGCCATGTGGGTTGCTCCCTGACTGGCTGGGGGACTCAACTCATGCTGCAGAGGCTGCAGATTGTGTTATAGGGCGGTGCTTAACACCTTGCGCCACCAGGGAGGCCCCCATAGTTCTCTCGCTAACATATCACCCATGTGAACCATCATTATATTCCCTTGTGTTCTTCCCTACCTCCTTTGACTCTCTTCCCTCCACATCCTTTGCTTATATGCCTCAGATCTATGGTCAACTTGCTAGTTTGGACTTTTTCTTGACGTTTTGTTTGGCTTCTCTGTATTCCACATGTAAGTGAAACGATCTGATAAATATCTTCTTCCTTCTTTCTTACTTTTGCTAGCAGCTATATCAGCTAAATCTTATTCTTAAATAGAATTGAAACAACTGTCCAGCTAGAGTTGGAGTGGGAACTGTTCCCTTAAAAAAATTATGGAATATTTACCATTTTTTATAATCTTAGATTCATGAAATACGAAATTCACACTTTTGTGCTCATTATAAGAAAGGATTTTTTTGTCTCTAAGAATAACCAGTTTCGGGCCTCCCCGGTGGCGCAGTGGTTGAGCGCTGGGTTGCGAAGCTGCCTGCGGCCTCTGCGGCACTGGTTCGATTCCCGGCTGCTCCCTGGCCACCAGAGGAGGGTCCCACATGGCGCGCAGACCTCTCCTGCCGCCCGCTGCTCCCCTCAGCAGTGTACTTAGGTCCTTCTGCCTTCTCTGCTCCCCGCTCTGGCTCTGGTGAATTCTCTCACCCTCTGCACTTCTGACTGTACCCAGTGCTTGTATAAACAAACAAACAAACAAATAAATAAATAAAACATGCCTCTATTAAAAAAAAAAAAATAACCAGTTTCTCACTTTTAATATATGTCAGAACAGATATTTCTCCTTTATTGATGGAACACATCAGTGACAAATGAATAATTTGCTATTGACCTCAGCCACTTTGTCCTTTGTACCAAGTATCATTCCTGAAAAACCAGTTGTTTCATTACTCCATTCCATGTTATGTTATAGAGAATGTTTCCAGAAAATTTATGCTAAGTATCAACAGAATGAATCATGAATATCTGTTATTTCCTTAGTCCTACATTCTTATTTTACCAGTAAAATATTTGTCTTCCAAACAACTGTTTTTGCCTGGACTTCTTTTAGCATCCTTTTGTCTATTGATTCACATTTGTAGAAACTTTTTTTTAAGATAGTCTTTTAGATTAGACACCAGCCCTGCTTCGCCAGCTGTACCTGAAATTTGTTCATCGTCTGTAGATATGGTGTGTTTCTTAAACTTCAGTTTGTTTTATGACAAACTTATACAGGCCTTTTCTTTAAGAATCTGTTGTTCTGACAGTGCCACTTTCTGTTGAGTAGATCCAGTATGGAAGAACAAGGGTCTTTTAGGAGCAAAAGAAAACCAGAGCCCTTTGTTCCTTCTTTTAAAAGTTTAGAATGGTAAAAACAGGGTTGGTTTTATGAAGCAATTGAAAAAAATAAAATGTCCCTAGTGAAAGATAGCTTTATAGTCCTAGGAAGGTAAAACTTGAAATAATCTCATAATCAGTTTTAGATACCACAAATTAGTATTTTGTATCTATGAAAGGTGAGCGATTGGAATGGAGCTTTTAAAATGGCACATTGTTATATTTAAAAGGAACAATGAGAATGGATTGCCTTTGAGATATCATTCTGTCTTGAAATAGGAAAAACGTATGTCTTTTTTCTGTTTTCTTCTGAAACAGATACTGAAATTTTGATAACAATTTTGATCGTCCTGGCCCAGAGAAGCTAGTTTTTAGAAATTCTATTTTAGATTTGAGGTGATTGTGTAGAGGGTAGGATATTTGGGGTTAGGGTAAGTAGACCTCTTTAAGCAATAGATATGGCCAATCCAGTAACTTAGAATGTTCTCTCAAGTAGACCCAAAGTGTATTAATTCTGTAGAAGAGAAGAAATAAGAAAATTCTCACATAATTATTTTAAAATAATTTATAATTTATGTCTTAAGGCATAAGTCAATACTGTCTCTCACATATGGGCCAAAGAGCTGTCCTCAGATATTGGACCTCGATTTCCCAAATTAATAATTTAGAATTTCCATTAATTGAGAACATTTTTCCAAAAATTGCTTGTATACCTCATGGCAGTAGCAGGCTCTTTTACTGAATAAAGTTTTTTTTATTTATGAAATAAAATACATTAAAGGGACAAGTAAACCTTTATAACTTTTAGGAGATAATAGGGAACATATTTCCCACCTTGGATAGGGCAGGATTTAACAACACATGAAATAAATTTAAAAATCTTACAATTAAAGCTACAACAATAAAAAATATCAGACCTTCACTAAAAGATACCGACAGAGAAAACAAAGAGAAAAGTAACAGAAAGGTACATTTATAATACAAGAGAAAAAAAAAACCCCTGAAAAGATCCATAAGAAACAAATAATCCAAGTGAAAATAAGCAAGACAATAGCAGTTGCACAGAAGCAACATGGCCAATAAATATATTAAGAGATGCTTAATCTTATTAGGAGTTGGGAAAATAAAATTAGCATTTTATTTTTATTGGGTAAGTATCTAAAAGTGGGATTGCTGGTTTGTATGGTAGCTGTGTGTTAAACTTCATAAGAAACTGCCACAATTTTCAGTAGCAACTGTGTTATTTTGTATTCCCACTGAAACTGTGAGAGGGATTTAGTTGCTATTCATCTTTGTGAGTGCTTTGGTGTATTATCAACATTTTAATATTTACCATTTTTATAGGATGTAGTAATATCTCATAGCTTTAATTATTGTTTCTCTGACATGATTTTGTGTGTTATCTTTTCACATATTTATAATCCATATGCCTTATTTGGTAAAGTGTCTTTTCATATCTTTTTCTATTTTTATTGTTGAGTTGCTTTTTCTAATTATTGAAGTTTGAGAGTCATATTCTGCACTCAAGTCCTTTTTTGGATAACTGTTTTGCAAATATTTTCTTCCCATTTGTGACTTTTCTATTTTCTTTACATGACCTTTTAAAGGTCAGTTTTCCATTTTAATGAAGTTTAATTTACCACTTGTTTTTACTTATGGGTGATGTCCTTGGGTCTAAGAAATCTTTGCTTCACTTGAATACGTGAAGATTTTCTTTTATAAATTTTGTACTTTCCAGTTTCACATTTAGGTCTGTGAACTTTTTGAGTTAATTTCACTTTATGTTGTAAGGTTTGTTCTTTTTTTTTAAGATTATTTATTTATGCATACAAAACTGGGGTACAGGCCAGAGGCACAGGGTATGGGGGAAGGATTCACCAGAGACAGAGTGGGGAGCAGAACAGGCATATCTACTGAAATACACTGCTGAGAAGAGCAGCTGGCTAGGCAGGAGAGGTCTGCTGTGCCATGTGGGTCAGCCCCCTGGCCAGGGATCAAAGGCATGCTGCAGTTGTGACAGCTTCATAGTGCTGAGACTTAATCCCTTGCGCCACCAGGAAGGCGTGCATGCATAGGCATATCCCTTCGTTGCAGCACTATTTGTTGAAGATTCCCTTGCAATTTCGTAAAAATTCAGTTGACCCAAATATATACGAGTATACTGCCAGTTAGTCTATCCTACTGGTTTGGTTTTCTTTGGATCTTTGAATGTGTTAAAACAGTGTGCTTTT